TAAATGAAATGCCAGTATGTGGTTATGTATTAAATTTTGGTATATTTTATGATAAAGGACCTTTAAACAATTATAGTCAATAAAAATGGAAGTATGATAAGGGTAACACATATAAATATCTGAGTTAAAATTCTTGAGTTAATATGAATTATGCTTGATGATTGTGGAAGAGTTGCACAAAAGCCTTTTGTAACCAACTGATACACTTTCTACAGTATGTAAAGAAGGAAGATTCTATGTGTTGTGTTTGTTTTGAAAATAAAAAATAAAAAATTATTTAAAAAGTTGAAGTAAAAACCCTGGCATATTAAGAACACAAACTGCCAATAGGAAAGATAGATGCTAATAGCTTTCTGACCGCTACGAGAAGGAAGTGGAATTTTCAAGACTCCTCTTTCCAGGTGAGTCCATGGCCATCTTAGGTCATTCCTAAATGCTCCCATTCAATCCAGGGAGCAGCTGGCAGAAAAAAATGGCAGATTGTTGGAAGGAAAAAGAAAAGTTCCTACTGTTCAACAGCCATCTTGAGCTGTATCTAATGAAGATAATTATCAATTTAAGAGTTACAGCAAATATTTCAAGTCACTTTGTACTCCAGGCAGTTTTGATATGCAATATAGTTTAGGTTAGTTTACTATAGTTCAAAGATTCAAAGCAAAGCAGACAAACAGGTAATTTAAGGAAGAAGACTATTCTTCCATTCCCCCTTCATGTTTCTGGTTTCATTTCTTTTAGTCTTTTCAACTTTGATTTTACTAGGATATTATATAATCTTATGCTTGATGTTATAGAAGTAGTGTAGGGAAATGTGATTCATTTAATTGTTACGTAAATTTAAGTATAACATCATATTACACTTAAGGAAATATAAATCTTCGTAAACAATATCAAGTCAGTCATATAATATGTGTTATATGACATATAATATGTCATATAACAGATGTATCCCTAAATATTTCCTATCTTTTCTTAAAATACAATTTTTAGAGATTCAGAATCTTCAAATAACTACAATTCAAAATTCTTTGCTGCTTTAAATTTTTCCCCTTTAAAACACAAAACATGCAGTTTTTCTTTTTTCCTTTATATGCACAGTAAGTGAAAGAATATTTATTTCCGTTTGCCTACTTCAAATCAGTATT